GCTAAAGGAATGAGATTGTTATCAATTGAACCGTTAGGGAACATGTCATTCTACTTATTTTTAGAGGCATACGTCTCTGATTAGGGTCAGCTGCTTGAAAATGAATGTCCATGCTGGGAAAGCTATGATAAGATTTGTATTACAGCCCTGCTGTATCACACAGTGTAACAAGCTTGGTGATTTACCTCTTCCACCTTAAATAATAACTGACATTTAAATAGCAAGTTATCATTTGCAAAGTATTTGACATGTATTATCTCAATGGAGCCTTGCAACAACTCTGGGTGGTAGGTAATACAGGTATTAGTATCCTCATTTTACAAATGAGAAAATTTAGGCTCAGAGAAATTAAGCAATTTCACCAACGTCACACAGCTTATAATTATCATAGGCAAGGTTTGAACCCAGGCTTTTCTGATTCCAAGTCCGTCACATCAAGCTACATTTACCCTTAATTTAGGTCAATAAAATTGACCAACTGTATATCTGAAATTAAAATTAGTTTTAGTATATTAGGAAATAGATTTTCTGTTTTGTAATCATTAGCCCACTTAGAGTTTCTGTAGCATTTCTCTCAGTTAGTGATCCTATTGAATGTACCTATTAAGCAGAGACTTGGCTAGTCACTAAATTAGCTTACCGAATAAAATAATTCAGTGTGGGTTTTGAAGCCAGTAAAGTTTTCTTTTTTCAAAAAATTACTTAAAATGAATTTATTTTCACACAGATTGGTAAACTGACCTCCTCCCACTGACCTCCCACTGACCTCCTCCATCCCAGAACAACAACAAGAAAAGTTCAATCCTTATCATATACCTGAATGGTCTTGTAAAACAAATCTCCCATTAGCCATGGACCAAAATTGTATGTCTTTCTCTTCATTAGAAGTTTGTCCCTTCTCTGGCAGCTGATGAGGGGCACGTTTCCTCTTCTGGCCTGGCTTATCATTTCATATGACAATTTGGCCATTCCCCAATAGGAGAACACCCCTTAATTTCTATATTTGGACTCCTCTGAAAAAAGCTGCTACAAATGTTTTTGTATGTGATCATTCCTTTTCTTCTTTCTTTAGTCTCTTTGGCACATGGGCATAGTAGTGGTAGAAATAATTCAAATAGACATGGTTTAGTAACTTGGGGCATAGATCTAAATCACTTTCTAGAATGGCTGGACCAATTCCTAACTCTACCAAGAGAACACTTGTTTATTGCTTGTTATCCAAAGCCCCTCCCCCATTTGTCATTTTCCTCTTTAGTCCGTCATCTTTGCCAATCTGGTTGGTGTGAGGTGGAACCTCAGAGTTGATTTAATTTGTGTTTTTCTTATTATTAGTGACTTAGAACATTTTTTGTATGAGTTTTAATAGTTTAGATTTCTTCCTTTGTGGACTACCTGACCATTTATTTATTAGGGATTATCTCCTAGTCTTATAAGTTTGACACAGTTCCTTTATATCTTGGATTGGTGGTATAGTAGATAGAGCACTCGGCTTGGAGTCAGGAAGAATCATCTTGAATCAAAATGAGTTGGAGAAGGAAATAGTAAACCGCTCCAGTATCTTTGCTAAGAAAACCCCAAATGGGGTCATGAAAACTAGGACATGACTGAAACAACTCAACAGCAACAGCATGAGACCTTTATCTAAGAAACCTGTTTAATTTTGAAATTGTAACTATTTTATATTGGTGCAAAACCTTTTGATTTTGTGTAACCAGAGATTATTCCTTTTATCTTGTGTGATCCTCTCTGTCACTTTGGTCATGAACTCTTCCCCATCCATGCATCTGAAATGTAGTTTCATCCTTGTTCTTCTAATTTATAATGTGCTCTTTTATATCTTTTAACTCATATAAACATTTGGAGCTTATCTTTATTATATGCTGCCAGGTGTTAGTCTAAACCTCATCCCTACCAGACTGCTGTCCAGTTTTCCCAGCAGCTTTTGTAAAACAGTGAGTCCTCCTAATAACCGGAGTCTTTCATTTTTTTGAGCGCTCATCTACTGTGTTTGAAACCAGTGCAGTTTTATAAGAAAAATTTTGTTCGTATTTACTATGTTTGTCCCCTTCTGAAACTTCAACTAAATGATTGACATTCTGTTATAGGCTAAGAAGTTTAAATGGTTCTTGGACCAATGAATATTCTACCAAATTGATTCTATTTTTAATATGAAATACTGTATTTAATAGGTATAGGCAAAAATTACATTACTTACTGCTTTAACTAGCAGTAAATGTGGCCAGATTTCCATGGAGTATCCATTCTGAAAACTTGTTGTAAGAACATAGGAAAATAACAGAAGCTTAGTTGGGGACTATGTGGTAGTTATGCATGTACGCTTGTTTCATAGGTACAGGGTGTCAAAGGTAGCCCAGCTCTCTTTCTGTACTTGTGAAGATGAAAATTGGCTTCTCCTCCCCCACCCTACTCCAGTGTTTACTATGGGCTAACCTAAGTTTGCACGTGAGGCAGCCAGGTGGCCCAGTGGATAGGGTGCTGGGCCTGGAGTCAGGAGACCTAAGTTCAAATCTCCCCTCAGTCACTCACCAGCTGGGTGACCCTGGGCAAGTCACTTAACCTCTGTTTGCTTTAATGCACTGGAGAAGGAAATGGCAAACCATTCCAGTGTCTTTGTCAAGAAAATCCCGTGGACAGTATGGTCCACAGAGTCACAAAGAGACATTCATTACTGAACGACTGACCACCACCAACTTGGCATATAGAGAGCACTTAATAAGTGCTCATTGACTGTCTTTGCTGCCATGTTGCAAAATTCTACTCTAGCTGATGTCCCATTTAAATATATCATTCCTGTGAAAGCTGACTTCCTCTTATGGCATTGGGTCTGTGAAAATACAACATTATGGAAAACAGCTAATGATAGGTAAACTTTTCTAGGATCAAAACAGCTATTATTTGTATTCTCCTTGTCTCCATTTTTAGAATGCTCAGCTGTTTTATCTTTTTATCGCTTTGAGCACCACCTTCCTTTTTCTGCACTATCAGAGCACTACCATTCGTAGTCACACTGACTTTTCTTCTGCCCTTTCAGACTCTTGCTGCCACTGGCTTTCCTTATTTCTTAAATTTTTAAAAAATTATTGAAATTATTTTTAAATTTTGAATTTAAATCTTAAATTTGTCTCCTGGAATTTGCACGGCCCCTCTTTGGTTATGAGGCTCATTTACGTTACCCTGGGCACAAGCCTCCTTACCAGACTTTCCCCTTTCCAATCTGTCCTCCAAAGTGGTGAAAATTATCTTCCTAAGGCAGAGGTCTGACTGTTAACTCTTCTGCTAATAAATCCTTAGGCTGTTTCCTCTTGGATAAAAAGTATCCTCCTTCAGCCTTTTATTGTGGCATTTATAGCCTGCCACAATCAAGGTCCAGCTTGATTGCTATGACCCTACAGGCAGCAAGGGCGGCGTATTGGATAGAGTACTGGAAATACAGGAAGAGCTGAGTTCTATGTGAACTTGGGTCTGTCACAAACTTTTCTCAGCCTCAATTTCCTTTTTTCTTTTTCTTTTTCTTTTCTTTTTTCTTTTTTTCTTTTTTTTTTTTGCGAGGCAGTTGGGTTAAGTGACTTGCCCAGGGTCACATAGCTAGTACGTGTCAATGTCAAGTGTCAGGTCTGAGTGAGACTGGATTTGAACTCAGGTCCTCCTGACTCCAGGGCCAGTGTTCTATCCACTGTACCACTTAGTTGCCCCTCTCAGTTTCCTTATCTGTAAAACGAGCACCAATTTCACAGGGTTGTTGTGGGGATCCAACGAGGCAACGGAGGCAAAATGCTTTGCAAATTTTAGAGCATTATGTAATTGTAAATTACTGTTTCAGAGACATTGCAACTTGCAATCAGAGAATCCTTTTCCCTCTGATGGTGACTTGACCAATCATATATTATTGTATTGGGCTTAAGCCTTCCTGCCTTTGGCTCTCCATAGTGTCCTGCCCATGAATTCTCTCTCAGAAGCTAAAAGTGTTTTCCATTTTATTCCCAGGATGGGACTCTCCCATCCTGGGTACTGCAAGGATGGTAGAAGGCTAGATTCACTCATTATGAGCCAGTTCACTGTTTTGCCGTAGTAATTGCTTGGTAAATATTTGTTTAAAAGATGAATGGATCAAGGTTTTGTTTTTGTTTTTTTTCTTTCGTGTTTGTTGATTGCCTGATGGATTAACTCAAGTAGAATAAGCATAGTCCAGTGAAAACAACCAAAATTTGGTACATCTGGTAGAACCACAGAATAGTAGAACCAAGAAGGACTTATCCTTTGGCATTGTGTTATAGTGGGAGGAGTGTGGTTCTGGGTTCATATCTCACCTCTGCTGCTTATTATCTGGGTGATCTTGGACAAATCACTTAAATTCTGTGAGCTTAGTTTCCTCATCTATAAAAAAAATTCCTTGGGGGAGGCAATCAGGGTTAAGTGACTTGCACAGGGTCACATAGCTAGTAAGTCTGAGGCTGGATTTGAACTCCAGGGCCAGTTGTATATCCACTATGCCACCTAGCTGCCCCGTCGTGTATAAAATGAAAGGGTTGAACTAGATGGCCTTTGAGATCGGTTTCAGCTCTCTAGAATTATGTTCTTGTGGATCTATTATCTATTTAATTGTAAAATTCAATATGATTCTAATACAATTCCAACAGATTTTTAGATCCTAGAGGACATAAATGACAGAAAGGATATAGACCTAGTGTTCTGACTCTAAACCAGTGGGTGTTATTTCTCCTGTATTGCAGGCCTGTGAGGGAAAAACATCTGAACAGTTTTATTGACATCTTCCAGTTAATTTACTTGTGATGATTATTTTCTTTAAAAATGCGATCCCTTTATTATTTACTATTGTATTCTATATTCTCAACTCTTACATTTAATTATGCTAAGAAATATATTTTTGAAAACCTTAGATGTGCTGCATGTACCGTGTCTTTGCTCTCTGTTTTTCTGCCGCGTGATAAATACTGCCATTATTCTTTCCTGTCGGCTAGGTGGCTCCAAACGATGAAGCCGTGGTGACCTTGCTGTGTGAGTGGGCCGTGAGCTGTAAAAGGTCTGGCAAACACCGAGCTATGGCCGTAGCCAAACTTTTGGAGAAGAGGCAGGCCGAAATTGAGGCAGAAGTAAGGTTTTTTGGTTTGTTTTTTTTTCGCTTAGGCTTTGATCATTCCAATTCCAAATAGCTGTGTTGGGAAGATCAGGGTAACACATACTTTCATATATCCAACGTAGGCTTTTTACATGAAGATGAGACAGGAGAGATAGAGACTCACCCTAGACTTCCCTAAGGCTTCCCTTAATTCTAAACAAGCACTGTGGTCACCATTTTCTTAGGCAATTTCAAATGCAATAGTTGACTTACGTATAAACACAAAATGCTTATATTTCTTGAGTCAACGCAAAGGCCCTTCTATAAATTTCTACATGCCTATGTATGTCTTCTCATCAATATCCATTCGAGAATAGCATTAAAGGACCTCAACAAAGGGCATTGCTTTGAGACATTTGTAGTTTTTATGTACACATAAAGATTTGAAGCAAAAGGTAGTGTTGTGTTTGTGTTCCATCAAACAGAATTTCAGAAATACTCAACTTTGTCCACATAACACCGACCACAAATGATCATCCCAGAGTAATCGTGCTATGGGGAGTTGAACTTGAAGGGCTTGACATAGAAAGGATCTTTGCCCCATTGGGTACTTTACAAAATCAGCATTTTGGTCAGGACGTGGCTCTGTTGAAAGATACCTATTGGTGGTTGATCACCTTGAGTATCCATGAGAAAACTCAAGAAATGGAGTTATCATAGAATTAATCATTTAATTCCCATATTCTTAGCTTTCACAGTACTTAGTTATCACAGAATAGCTTAGTTCCCAAATTCCTAATTATGCTAACACTTAGTGATTGTGGAATTTTTACAGAACTTGTAGCTTTGTTTCCAAATTCAGGGGCAGATAGGTGGCCCAGTGTATAGAACACTGGGCTTGGAGTCAGGCAGACATGAGTTCAGATCTGACACATACTAGCTTGGTCACCCTGGGCAAGTCACTTATACTCTGCCTCAGTTTCCCATTTGTAAAATGGGAATAACAATAGCAACCTACCAGCGCTGTTTTGGGGATCAAATGAGATAATAATTGTAAAGCCTAAGGCATATATAAATGTTAACTATTATTATTGCTGCTGTTCAGTCATTTCAGTTGTATCTGACTCTTCGTGACCCTATTTGGGGTTTCTTAGCAAAGATACTAGAGTGGTTTGCTATTTCCTTCTCTAGCTCATTCTACAGATGAGGAAACTGAGGCAAATAGGGTGAAGTGACTTGCCCAGGATCCCACAGCTAGTATGTTTCTGAGGTCAGATTTGAACTCAGGTCTTTCTGACTCCAGGCCCAGCACTCTATCCACTGCGCCACCTAACTGCCCAGCTAATATTATTATTATTCTTTCCCTAATCTTAAGGTCTTAGTCAATTTCCTTATATTAATGTAGATCTGATAAAATGTGAAAGAGCAAAAACTTATACAAATCTTTCTGGCTGGTTTTGTGTACCTACAACTACACACACACACACACACACACACACACACAGACATACACAAACCTCACATAACATTCTTTTCTTTCATCTATAATGGTGCTACCATTGAATTAGATGTATACAGGGGCTTTTCATAGCCTCCTTTCCACTTTTAAATGAATTAATGTGTGTTTAAATATTCTTCTGCCAATTCTCCAACCACATTTTCTTAGAAAATAAGACTGCATAAGTTGTAAATGAAAAACAATTTCTAGTAAAAGGCTAAAGACCAAAGGCCAGAAAAATTCAAATGACCAACCAGGAATCTTTAGGTTGTTTCTAAACCTGGTACCTTGTTCATGTGAGGTTTAGCAGGTACCACTCATTTCAGCTCACTGAGAATGCAAAGCAGCTGAATGATAGTCTTAAGTGACTTTCTTAGGACTTTTTCCTAAATTAGAGCAATACCAAAAGTCCTGGGATCTCATTGTCAAAGTGTGATAAAAAACCTACATTAATCTTTTAGGAAGCATAGATTTTTCTTTACTAAAATCAGGTAAGATACTTTATGCACAAATCAAATACAGATTAATAACTCTACCCTACTCCCAGTTTCCTGATCGTATTTAGGGAATATAATTAAATTTAAGTATTTTTTTTCTACAATATACTTATTTTTATTAGGCCGTCCAAATTTTTTCACACTTCTTTAATGTAAAGCAGAGATGTCAAATTCACTCCCAAACCAGATTAAAATGTAACTGGAAGGAAAGAAATAGGGGGCAGCTAGGTGGCGCAGTGGATAGAGAACCGGCCCTGGATTCAGGAGGATCTGAGTTCAAATGTGGCCTCAGACACATAGCACTTACTAGCTGTGTGGCCCTGGGCAAATCACGTAATCCCATTGCCTATCCAAAACAACAACAGCAAAAAAACAAAATAAAAAAAAGAAATAAAAATATAATACAACATAATGTTAATTTATGGTTTTCTAAGTCAATATACAGGATTTTCCATTTTTTTTTTTTTTTTGAGTTTGACCCCACTATTGTAGAGATTGCCGGAAGATAGCATAGACATAGCCCATGTGGTTCTGGATCTGAGTCATTTACATTGCCTAATTTGATCAATGTGAGTACTGCCCAAGTTCCCTGTCCAGTTATTTCTTTGGAACATTGGTTACAATTGAATTATCCACTCTGTAATTCATACCCATAGTTTATAAACAGATTATTGTCTATAACCCTTAGAGAAACCAATAATTAACTGTTTAGTACTTCATTTGTGATATGAAATTGTTGGGGGAAAAAGGAACCAAGTTGCTGTCATTACCTCACTCTAGCAAATACATTCTGTTTTCAATCCCTAGCGTTGTGGTGAATCAGAAGTCTTAGATGAGAAAGAATCTCTTTCTTCAGCCTCCCTTGCTGGGTCCAGCCTGCCCATATTTCAGAATGTCCTGCTTAGATTTTTAGACACACAAGCTCCCTCACTGTGTAAGTATCTCCTCTTTGATTCAAATTTAGGGGCAAAGCATTTGACACTGTATTTATTGAGTTGCTGAATTCTTTTTTCTTATTAGTAGTTGTCATCTTGAAGTTCCATTTATTAAAAGACTAAACTCCTCAGTGCTATATGACCCTAGGCAAGTCACTTAACCCTGTTTGCCTCAGTTTCCTCACCTGTAAAATGATCTGGAGAAGGAAATGGAAAACCCCTCCAGGGGTCTGAGCATGATCAATTTATTAGATTAGCAGTAACCAATAAAGTGGGTCAATAGCCTCACTCAATGGTCAAAGATTCCAGGGTAGGACTCACCAGCCTTAACATAGTTTTGGAGAGTACAGAGTTGGGTAGGTGAGAAGACAACAAAATTGGTTATAGGGGAGATAGCATTGTGGGTGTGGGGACAACATGATTGGTTATTTTAAGGAAAGTGAGCTAATACATATGGGGCTACCAACCACCCCTATCTATGACCCCTGTCACAGAGGAATTGATGTATGGGATCCATTTGCATCCTTTGGTGCTTGATGGTGGACCAGGCCTAACAGACTCCCTGTCTCCTAGGAGGGAGATAAGACCCTCCTTAATTGGGCAAGGATAGGCAAAGGTAGACAGTGTATTTTGTGGAAATATACCAGGTTAACTTGTAGGCCTTCAGAGATGGTGAACAGATGTGATAAGATTTTTCAGGGGCTGGAGTTATGAGGGATAACATATTTTCTTTAACTAACTTGGAGGGGTAGATGTACTTCTCTAGGAAATCTTCTCTGTTTCAGTCTACTTGCAAAGTGAGAGATAGTAGGCTAAGACTCCCTGGTTTTCACCTGCATCCCTCAAGGATAGCAGATTTCCTTGAGGCAAGATTAGAACAGTGATTAGTAGGAGAACTAGATTTCTAAACTTAACTCATTACAGGCCAGCTGAATTTCTGAACTAAGTTCAGAGACAAAAAATCATGGTTTTAGGCAAATACAGACAAAGTCAATTAACTATAAATAGCATCAATTAAAAAATGATACAGAATCAATTTAATTTCTACAAGAGGTTGAGTGACTGGCGTTCCCCAGCTAGGGGGTGTCTGAGGCAAGGTTCTGACTCAGATTTTCCCAACTCCCAAGTCTGGCATTCTATTCACTATAGAATAGAATAAAATATTAGATATTTTAATATAATATTAGATCTGAAAAGGAAAGGCAGAATGTGAAGAATGGAAAATTAGAAATTAATAGGAGAAGAGAGTGAGCTCTAAAGAAACAGGAGTTACAATGGGAAATGCATGCCCCTATGGAAGTAACAGGGCTTCAGCGTGTATCCAGGACTGGCATTTTTTTTATTTCAGCAGATTCATAACTTGTTGCGATATAGTCTGTCCTGACCTCAGAATTCAATTCAATTCAACCAGCATTAGTAAAATTAGGCATCTGGGTCCTATGCTAGCCTTGAGGATGCAAGGATAAAAATAGCTTGTGTCCTTAGAGAGCTTAATTTCTTTTTTTTAGGGGGGGTGGGATACTACATATACAGAGTATGTATGAGATGGGGAAGGGGACAAGAGAGTATTTAGATGAAGTGTTCTAGGAGAATTTCAGGAAGGAGAGGAGAAGCACTAACAACCGTGAGGTCAAGAGAGACCACTGGGATAGATCGTAACATCTGTTTGAGTGTGAACACTGCTAAGGGTCCTCCCGGTTTGAGGTGACCTATAGGACAGGAGCCAAGCCATGAGGTAGTGGGTAGGATATGGTTCAGAAGCCTGTAGTGGTTAGAGAGGGCTGCAAAGCAGGAAAAAACAGAAATGTTGAGTCAGGATATGGTAGAGAATGGAAATATTCATGGGAATGCAAAGGGTACACACCTCTCCTGTTGTTCCTTGTTATTATTTTTGACAAAAAATAAATAAATCAAATAGAATGCTTTCTGGTTTATCAAACACTATCTCATTTGAGCCCCACCAGCACCTTGTGAAAGGAGGGTGGTAAAATAGTATCAGCACAGTATAATGGAAAGACACTTGAGTCAGAGAATCTGAGTTGAAATTTCAGCTCTACTAATTATGACTTTTGTGATGTTGGACACATCATTTCATTTCCTTGGGCCTCAGTTTCCTTATTTGTAACTGAGGGAGCTAGATGCTCCCCCCCATCCAGGTCTCTTTTAGCCTTAAATCAATGATCCTATCAACATTGTAAGATGCTTTTGAGCTCCAAATCTATGCTAATATGACCCTATGCTATGTAAATGAGGAAGCTAGAGGGCCAAGTGCCTTGTTCTTTGTCTCAGGATTAGTAAGGAGTAGAGGCTGGATTTGGTCTTACACCTGGGGGCAGCTAGGTGGCGCAGTGGTTAGAGTACTGGCTCTGAAATCAGGAGGACCTGAGTTCAAATCTGGCCTCAGACCAAACACTTGACACTAGCTGTGTGACCCTGGGCAAGTCACTTAACCCCAATTGCCTAAAAAAAAAAAAGAAAAAGAAAAAAAAGAAAAGCTCTTATACCTGACAAATGGTAGAACCAGGGCCAGGACCAAATCTTGGTCTTTGGGCTTCATCTTTCTTTCTACTGTTATTTCTGCAATTGAAAAACTCAGGGCTTCTTTCACTCCGGAAACTTTCTTTTTCTTTTTTTAATTAGGAATATCTTTAATTTAGTATTTTATTTTTCTCCAGTTATATGTAAAAACAATTTTAAACATTCATTTTTAATGGGAAACTGTTTCTTAGGGCTCCACACCCCTGTGATTGTTCAAGCCCCATACCTAGTGACTTCAAGGTGCAATCCTTGAGATAGTTGGCATACACCCTCCCTCCCCTCCGGAGACATCAGCTATAGTACCATGTCTTCTATTTGTTTCCTGCCATTTTGAACCTCTGCAGGAATGAAGAACCATGGCGACTTTGCCTCCTGAATACTGGTGTTGTCAATCCATTTGGTCTTTGTCGGGGACAGCCCATGGTTAACGGTGAAAGGAACCGGACCCGAGCCATTATTTTAATGGTTCGGTCCAGGAAGCCCCTGGATATTGTTGCTTTTCAGTTCCATTTCCAGTGGAATGGGAGGCTGGTCCTTATCACTGTGGGGTGAGGGAAACACCATTAAATTTTAGTAGCTTAAAACTGCACTAAGAGAGATCCTGTATATTTATAGTTCACTTTTACCTGGCACCTTAAGGTTTACAAATCTATTTTCCTATGAGATAAGTAATGCATGTAGCATTATTCCTGTTTCACAGGAATTAAGAAACTGAGCCCAAGAGTGAAGTGATTTGTGCAAAGTCACGAATCAAGTAAGTCCACCCCAGGACTGCCAACTTCCAAGTTCACTTCTTTCTCCCAAGGTCCAGGCTGAGTCCCTGAGCTAGTAAAACCAGTCTTGCTTCTATTGCTTACATGGGGTGTAACTGGCCCCAGTGGCCGGGTCTCACCTTTATTGCCCTATTCTCAAAGGTACAAAAAAAGACAAAAGTGTGGTTCCAATATTGGTGCTGAGAAGAATAGATGTGAATAATCAACAGATAGACATTCTTACTACCAGTCTGCTTTGTCTTTTTGTTGCTATAATTGGTTTTTCATAATAAACATTTCAACTTTCTTTTTATTGTCCTCATGGGTGTCCCGCTTGCCCCACTCATTACCGCTATGTCTTTTCATATATCACTTGAAGTGGGGTTTTATGCTGCCACCTACCTTAGCCAGCTGTTCTGGGGTGGCAGGAGGGACCTATAGACAAGGGGAAACATTTCTAGTGGGAGGCACCTGTGTGGCGGTGATTTTTATCTGTCATAGTTTATTTATAAACTCATTGTTCAGGGATCATAATCATCTTTAAATATTAAATACCATGTCATTTATTGTATCAATTTTAGCAATGACTATTAGACTCTGGTTGAAGTCTTTGGCAGATAGTGGTAATGGTGACTTTTTGGGGGTGGGGCATAGTCTGGAGTTTGGATTTTATCTTAGTGGGGATCTCCCAGTATGGCACATCCATACCAGGTCTAGATTGGTGACTCATATAACCTTAACCATTTGGCTCACTGAGAGTTTAAGTGACTTCCCCATGGTCATACAACTAGTATGTTCCATGAGTGGGACATGAACCAAAGTCTTTCTGCATTCAACACCAGCCATCTACCCATTTTTGCCATACTGACATCAGTAATCATAATAACTCGGTATATTGTATAGTACTTGTATAGTACTCTGATGTTTTACAAATTGCTTTCATCACAGCATCCATGTGGTGTTGGTAGTGCAAATGTTGTTTATATCTGTTTTATGATGAGGAAACTGAGGCACAGAGCTGAAATGACTTGTCTGGGTCACTAAGGCTGTAAGTATTACAGCCAGGATTTGATTTCAGATCTTCTGACCCCAAGACTAGTACTCTGGCTACTATATCATGCTGAGTCTCAGATGGTAGCTTTACTGCCCTCCCTTTGGTTAATAAGGGTTCAGAGCTATTGGATTTGTGTTTGAGACGCAGAGCATAAAACCAGTGTAGGTGCCAGGGTTCCAGGGCAGATCTCCGAACTCCAAGTCTAATCCATATTCTGCTCAATCATGAATTAAATTAATTAAAATTAAATTAACTAATAAATAATAAAATAATTAAATTAACTAATAAAATTAACTAAAATTAATCTAGCATTAAATGCTAGATACCAAGTACATTTTCCCCCTTCCTTCAATGATGAAATACAAGATTTCCTGGAAGATCCAACACTGTAGTAATTGGTGGTCAGACAGCAGGAAGCTAGTCACTCATTCAGGGTACAAGAAAATTACTGAAAATTTTTTACTTTGTTTCTCAATAGCTGACCCAAATAGTGAATATGAAAAGATAGAATTCGTGAATCTGGTGCTGCTATTTTGTGAGTTTATCCGGCACGATGTGTTCTCCCATGATGCGTACATGTGCACATTGATATCTCGAGGGGACTTGTCCCTAAGTGCCACAACTCGACCACGGTCGCCACCTGGGGAAAATCTGGATGAACATTATTCAAAAGACAATGATGTGAAATTAGAGGTAAGGTACTAAATATGCCTTTAACCTTCGTGGTCAAGCTTCAGTTCCACCACTGGGGACAAAGGGTGGGCTGGGAAGGCAGAGACCCCAGTGTATTTAAGACCATTGTCTTTTAACTTAAATAATACTAGAAGCAGAAATTCAATGTTTGAATGAAACAGTATATACTACAAATCATAGAAATGCTTATAGGCTGTTTAAAAGTTATTGGTTTTTCAAAAATCAGCATCATTTTGCTTTCCATGAATGCAGCTTGAGTCCTTAAAAATCCAAAGTATATTCTCACCTTGTAACTTTTTCTTTCTCTTCCTTCCCCATTGTGTCAGCACTCATTTTCTAATTTTTCAAAATATAACATGAGATCCAGTAGTTTTCCCCTCTTTAATTAAAATTTGATCTTTCTTTGCCAGGAAATTCCACCTTTCGTGGTATGCAGGCACATTTTTGTGATAAATTATGAGTATTTATGAAAGCTCAAAGCTGCTTATAAGCAGCAACATTGGGATAGGGAAGCCATTATGATGTCTTCAGGGGTGGGGAACCTACTGCCTGGAGGACACATGTAGCCTTCTAGATCCTTGAGTGTAGCCTTTTGACTGAATCCAGGTTTTACAGAATGAATCCTTTGATTAAGGAGATTTGTTCTGTGAAGTTTGGATTCAGTCAAAGGGCTGCACTTGAGGACCTAGAGGGCCACAAGTGGCCTTGAGGCTGTAGGTTCCCCACTCCTGGTAATTAAACGTCCCAGACGTACTCTCTGATGTAGACTAAAGCCTTGAACATTTTCTGTAAATGACCGTAACCATAAAAGCAGTTAAGAACAATAAAATGAAACTGAACCTTGGGTAATTTTGAAGACCAAGCTTGGACCTGGGAGGGATAGCTTATAAAAATCTACCTTCTTCCTTTCATGGCGGAAGTGGGGCACTATGGGTGTGGAATATGGTCAATATACTGCCAAACATAAGTCAGTGTGATTGGTTTTGCTGAATTTCCCCTTTTTTTGTTTTTTTCATCTTTCTTTTTTAATCTTTGTTACAAAGGATCACTTGATGAATGGGGATGGGCAGGAAGTTGTTCGGAAATGCATGTGATAATGAAAACAAAAGGCATCCGTTTTTTAAGAAAGGAGAAATCTTCTCATAAACTAGTTCTGGTTTTATGGACACTTTTCCTAGTGCTTGTTTTCTGCTGTTGACAAAGAAAAAAAGGAAAGGGATATGCTAAATGACAAGTGTTGGAGAGATTTTAGTGATAAGTCCCTACAAATTATACCTCATGCCAATTTTGTTATACATGTCAGACATATGATTTTGCCTTTAGGAAAAATTTGTGTATTTTATTACATTTATTTTTATTTTAAAAAATATTTTACTGATGCTTTAAAAATATATATATATGCCACTTTCATTTCCCAATACTCATCGCCTTCCTGCCATCCTGCTTGTTAAACCCACCCTTGCAACAAAGAAAAACAATGAAAAAAACCACATCTAAAGACATGTAACATTCCACACCCATAGCTACCACTCTCTATCGAGAGGAGGTAAGAGTGTTTCATCATTAATCCTCCGGAAACAAGGTTGACCAGAGAGTGGATATATTTTAAAAGAATAAAATTATTGAAGATGTAGAGATTCAAAAAGAGGATTCAGTTTTCTATCAGGATAAGATATACATGTAAAAGTGACATTTTTTTAAATCATAGATTCCCTTTTCCCCTAATTTGTCTAGTATGCTTACATGTAAAGATTTAATTCTTTATGAGACTTTTTTTTAAGCTCTCTTGTACTTTTGGTTGTCAAAAATCTTTCTATGGGGGCAGTTAGGTGGCACAGTGGATAGAGCTCTGGCCTTGGAGGCAGGAGGACCCGAGTTCAAATGCGGCCTCAGACACTTGACACTTACTGTGTGACCCTGGGCAAGTCACTTAATTCTGACTGCCTCACATGCACACAAAATCTTTCTACTAAGAAAAACAGAATGGTTGAGGAAGTGATTAGAAATAGCCAGTAGTAACAAACCTAAGACCATTTTTTTTTCCCAGGGAATATTTTCAGATCTTCCCCCAATCCACTGTGTGACAATGTCCAGAAATACTATGGGGCAAGACTCAAATTTGTCAAGCAAAAAAATCATCATTTTTCTGAAATTTTTTCAGGGCATGGGGGTGGGTGGGGGAAATTGAAGCTTGCATTTTCAAGAACTCTATCATATTTTTTAGCTTCAGGTTGTGAATAAGTATACACAGTTTACATTGTGATTTTCTTTCTCTGACTGCTATCAGGAACATAGCATTATGGAACATATGGGCATTGACTCAGGAACCGCTAATATTTTTGATGACGTAGACAAGAGTGACTTTAAAACTGACTTTGGTTCAGAATTTCCAGTAGGTTCCACTTTTCCATTCTCTTGACTCCTCAATTCCCCCCAACTTGTCTCCATCTTCTTGTTGCTTGTTACATGCCCCAAAGTGGTTCTTGTGCTTGTCTTATAAATATTCTCTTGTCTTTGCCTCTGATAGTGTCACTAATGTATCAGTTCCTGTCTTTCATTTTGTCTCTCTTGCCTCTGAACATATCAGCAAATGAGAGATCACTGCAGATATACCCTTCACTTCATCTCTGCATCATCATTGCTCCTTGTCCTATCAAGACGGTGTAGGTGTGACAACATCCTGCATAGTCTTTGTTGATCCATCCTCAACTTCTAGATAATACCTTTTCCTGATTCTGGTGTGTTGGCTTTCTATCTTGCTACTTTAGTTCCAGATGTTTTCTCCCTCATAAATCTTAATTAGTACTTCTTTCCATAAACCAGATGGTTTATTTTATGGCTGCTATCCTAAAACAATTATTTATGCATTTAATTTGTATTTAGAGAGGCAGAATTGACTTGAGTTCAAGCTTTGTCTCTGATACATACTACTTGTATGACCCTGGGCAAGTCATTTAACCTCTCAATGCCCCTAGACTAAGGCTGTCAGTTACAGGTGATTTACTGATCTCCATTGCTGGGGAGAGTTTCCATAAAAGGTAGTTCTCTATAAAAATAAAATTACAGATTCTGAACTCCTCCCTTTGGACCCCCTCACCCAAATAAATTATACAATGTGTCCAATGAATCAGATATCTAATTTGTTTCTGGTTCCCTAATTACCTAATCACCATGACAAATAGCTTTTTAATGTTGATTTCTTCATCTGTAAAATGGGATTAACAACCTCCCACCTCCTTGACAGAAATTTTGTAAAGATGAATGAAATCATGTCTGTTAAGAATTTTATGTTCAAGGGACCTCCCAAAGAAAAGGTATTATTGAAGTTGTATCTCATGTTTTTAAATAAGATGGTATATATGGCTATAATTTGAAGTTTTAATTTTTCATTTACAATCTTCAATATTTGTTTTACATGACTCAGATTTTTTCTCCTATGCCTGGAGAGTCCTGTGAGAATGCCAACTCTTCCTTAGACAGAAGAATTTCAGTTAATAGTGAGAAGATGGTGAAGAGAGAAAAACAAAGGGAATTAATATTTCCATCCAATTATGACCTCCTTCGGCACCTGCAATATGCCACACATTTTCCTATACCTCTGGTAAGTGAATGATAACACTTGGAAATGGAAGGGAAATTAAATCTCTTACTTTTGACCAAGGACCACTGGTGCATTTTTTTATCTGATATCTGAATTTTGGTTAGGAAAAGCAGCATCCACATCCTTCCTTAATGCTTAACTGTAGTCAGAATGAATCTAATGCAATATTGGGTGTTTATTTTAAAAACACTTCCTATATTGAGATGGAATTTTATTTTGATGGAATTCTTTATAGATACTTTTTGCAAAGTTGAGAACAATTAGCCGGTGTAAGCTGGAGATGCTGGGGAACTGGGTCCGTTTAAAGTATTATTTCCAGAACTTATTTTTGGAATCATTGAAAAGAATTCTCCTTTTTTGTTTGTTTCTTTTGATGGAGAATGTGGAGGTTTACTTTTTTGAATATTATTAATGTTGAAAGTGTTGGGAAGCTTGAATGGGAAACATTTTTATTCTCAGTCACTAATATGTTAAGCATATGTTAAATTTTGCTTATGGAGGATTATTTTTGTCAATTTAAAATGTAACCATGGAGCAGATTAAATATATAAAGGTATTATGTGACAAAAGAATTTTGACCTGTGAGCTAAAAGCTCCCTAATCCTGTTTTGTTTTGTTTTGTTTTTTAAACCTTTCTGGAAGGATTTCTGTTTTTATCTTAATTTTTCAGATTGCCAAGATTCTACTTTCTTCCTAATTATGTTTTAATATCCACTTTGTGTCTTCATGTGATTGGGTCCTACTGAGCTTAGATTTGCTGTATCAGTCAAGTGATGAAATTATATTTGTCAGTTACTTGCGTGAAAATTACTTTTCTCACACTTTGGGTAGCCTGGTGAACCTGATTTGGGACTAGATTTCTTGCTGTCCTTTTAAATAAACCTATAGTAACTGTGATACTTAATCAGTGCCTAATAAATATTTATTAGGCCACTGTAAGAGTTGGGGGTAGAATGAATAGAACTGTCTTAGTATTTATCTCATACAGTTAAGTATCTATGTTGTCAACTGGGAGGGTGCTGGGGAGGAACACTTTGTAGGTAAGATACTCTGCTATTCCTCTGTATGTATGGAATGTATAGTGTATTTGGCTATCTTCACTGACATTATGGAAATGGCCATTTGGCCATTGATCTCAGCCCTTGTGGATCTGGCCACAAGATGTTCACTTGCTGCTCAAGTGCTTTCTACTAAGTATCTCTATGTACTCCAAGGTTAATGATTTCATTGGCATGAGGACTTCTTCCCTCCCCTGAGGTGTAGCATAACCCCTCCGTGCCGTACAAGATTGTCTTTGTAAGTTGCTGTGACCAAAAATCACCTTCTAGCTTAGCCAGGTTGGTCCCCAGAGGACAGGCACATTTTCTGTTGCTGGTCATGTACATACTTGAGTTCTTTCCATTTTGGTAATGTGTATCTAAGTCTGTGCCTGCTGGCTTGAGTTTGGAGAATCACTGGGGGAGGACTTGGGCATGAAGGCATGAAAGTGTTTGTGTGTGGATTAGGAGCCAAATGCCAGAAAATTCACATGGGAATCCTGTGAGTATGGTTAGCCTCCTTTAGTCTCCTCACCTGCATCTCAGGGACAAACCATTACTGAAGCCTCGGGTGAGTGTTTAATGACATGACCTAGTGTTTGGGTAGTAAGAAAAATGTCCTTCTTCTTGACATGGAAATGGAAATTTTCATCAGCCTATCAAATAAATCATAAATATGGTTAAGGATGATACCTTTCCCCATTTTTGTTCACCTGAAAGTTTCTGCCTAAAGATGCATCCCTGAGAAGCTGACTATCAAATAATGACTAAGTAGAATTGCTGAAGAGTCCAGAAGAAGCCAAACTGACCCCAAAACCTTGTCTGATTCTTCCAGAATCCTTTGCATTTATTTTGTGTATAATTATATGTGTATTAAAGTTCAAGTCTGACAATGCTATCTCCTTACTCAATAAATTTCTTTGGCTGTTTATTGCCTCGAGGTTCAGATATAAACCCTCTTTGGCATATAAAGCTTTTCACAACTTGTCTTTCTGTTGTTCACGTCTTCTTATGCATTATTTTCCCTTCACCCTGTACTCTCTGGTAATGCCTCACAAGCCCACTGGCTGTTCCTCATACCTGATTACTGTGTCTTTGCACTGACTGTCCCTTGTGCCTGGAATAGATTCCCTCCTCACCTCTATCTCATAGAATCCCTGACTTCCTTCTAGATTTAATTCAAGGATTGCCTTCTGCAGGAGGTCTTTCCTGCCTGCCCCCTCTCCACCCACCATCCCCAGCTGCTAGTATCCTTTTCTCTAAGGTTACTTTGTTTCTATTTGTGTGTATCTTGTATATACTGTGTGTGTGTGTGTGTGTGTGTGTGTGTGTGTGTGTGGTCTCCCCAATGTACATTACTTAAGAAGGTAAGCTAAAGCTCATTACAGTGGCTAGCACGTAGTAAGTACTTAATAAGAGCTGATTGATTGATTAACATGAGCTATTTGTTCTTCATAGAATAAGATGTTACTTGGATCAACCAATTAGTATAACTTGGCTTCTGGTACAGGCTTAGCCATGAAATGTGTGAATATAGGCAGATCATTTAATTTTCTCATAATTTGGCTTCCTCCCCAGCGCTTCTTAAACTGTGGGTTGTGACCCCAACAGTAAAAGGTTTCTGAACACTCAGCAACCCCAAATTAATTAAAAATCAAGTGCATAATGAATCCAAGGTGTTTCTGGCAGCACTTGGTGGTGTTGAATCATTCGGCTTCACTGCAGCCTTGGTTCTGAACACTGTGCATGCCTTCAGGCCACACAACTCCAGAGAACACTGGTGAAACACAAAAAGGTCTTAACAAGTAGAGAAGGTTTAAGAAGCCCTGGTCTACAAAATCTATATCGTAAATAGCTGCCACAACTACCACACAAGGTCGTGGTGAGGATAAGAAGAAATGAAAGGTGTAGACATTTTAAAAATTTTTTAAAAATTGAATTTTTATGCAGATGCTTTACATGGAGAAGTCCATGTTTTCTTCTATGATTTATCCTCTGATTATTTGTACAAATATTTGAGAAATAGCTGTCCAGTGGCAAGAATCCACGATGTAATCCATTGTCACAGGGTGTGTGTGTGTATGTGTATGTACAGATACATGTGATGTGCACACAGATGCCAAGCTACCTACCCCTAAAAGAAACAAATCTGTTTTAATAACTGTGGTCTTCTTTTCTTCAGGTTTAACATTATTATCCCTCAAATTTTCCCATTTCCTTACCCCTCATTTTAGTCCATCTACCCATTTCCAATGCTCTTCTAATTTGATGTAATCTGTTGACTCCTTCCATTTTTTGAAGTGGAGATGGTCTACAGCAGCCAGCACAGGACCTTATGTTAAAGAATACTGTATTTGGACTCAGAGAGTCTGGGCTCCAATCCCAGCCCCATTGTTTTTCTCCCTTGGTGACCTTTGACAATTCACTCAGTCTTTCTGGCTCTTAGTTCCCTCATCTATAAAATGAGGGTATAAGACAAGACGATCTCTAAAGTGTCTTCTAGTTCCGAATCTGTGAGCTACCTGAGAAAGTGTTTTTTGTGACAAGGAAGATGTGAGTACTGAAACGTCAATGAGAACAGTATAAAGGAACTTGTCCCTTTACTCTGAATGCCAATATTTCCAACTTCCCAGTGTACTGTTAAGGAATACCATATGGTTTATAGCATCTGCATAGCCTGAAAAAGCCATTTCCCACTGCTAGCATTCTGTAATTTGTAACATATTCTGTGGGTTAAGACTCTTCTACAATTGGACAAACACTATCACTCCTGGTCCTATTTTTAGAAACCAAGGGTCAGAAAATTGATTATTTTTTCTTGAAATGCTATTATAGTATTTGTGATTTTCAGACTTATCTACAATGTTAAGTTTTGTGATGATGTTGTTTTGATAGCATTTTGTGGTTATCATTTTTCTTTGGCTTATAAAACCGTAAGTCTACATTTAGGAACCTCTGAAGCCATCAAATCTAGTCCCTTCATTTCTGAGGTTCAGAAAGGTAAAGTGAGTCTCCCAAGATCTCACAGAAAGTTGAGGTCTGACATGGAATTTTAACCCAGGTGCTCTGATAGCAGAGCCAATGACTGTACCATTTTCACTTGCCACAAATAGCAAAATAATATGGTTGACTGTTATTAAAGCTGGACAAACTTTATTTGCAGCCTTAAGGTAGAATATAATCAACTAAGACTATTAAAAATCAAATTACTATATCTCCAGGCCCCCTTCGAAATTTTTTTTTCTTTAAGGATTATGTAGAAATACACATGAAATTCTGAAAATTACCCCATAGTCTGGGGAGTTCTGAAACTGCTCTCATTGGAATAATAGATAGAAAAACCAGCCATTGATGGTTTGAAGGTAATACTGGAACTATTTGGATTGGTTACTTTGGTTCTCTTCCAGGTCTATTCCACTAGTATGTCTCAGGTACTTTTATTGAGACTATTCTGGTCACTTTAAATGAGAAGGCCATTCCAGGAGTCTTAAAACTATTTCAGACACCATCAATTTCCAACTAATTCATTGAGCCTGTTTCATAAACCTCGTTTAGATGCCAAGGGTATTGTTTTGTTTTGCATCTGTTATTCCCCACAACTTGCTGGGTTTTTGTATAAATATTTTGGTTAAGGCGTATGAGCAATCACAAGCTGGTTTGCTTTCTTTACAGGCAGTGTCTGCAGACCGAGGGATCCTCGTTTGTTTGATTTGGTATTGCTACTGAGTGATGGCTAAAGTTAACACTAGTCTACTGGTTTTGTCAGGCAAATGCTTTTTGCTCCTTCCCACGTGGATTTTCCAGTCTGTATTTGTGAGAACTCAAAAATGTGGTTCCCTTATAGTTCACTTGCATGCCTTGGTTTTTCTTGTTGGTCACTTGTCTCCCTATGCGATGCAAAGGTCTCAGTCACTTTTAACCGGAATGCTTTCGAGAGGTTATAGTATAGAATAGGGTCGAAACATAGGTTTGATACTGCTAGCAGTAAAGTTGCTTCCTTAGCTTTAAAGAGCGAGATCTTGGTTGGGCAGTCTGTTATGACATTGCTCTGGCTGAGAGTGTAGGGGATCCTAACAATGTGGTAAGGAACAAAACAGATAATGTAGCTGCCAGTTATCAGCAGTATATTGATCAGAGCCCGTTTCACGTTTGCATAGTTCTCACTGTCTTTTTTTCGGTAGAGCTGTCTGATGACAAGGCAGTTGGATATTAAAATGATTGCTGAGAAGTTTAGGAATATTGCCACACATATGAAATTAGTAAATACGTGCCAGTTCCTCCCAAACTCCTTTTTGAATTCCATGCAGCCCACTATTGGCTTCTCTTGAATGTCATTAATGGGAATCACCATGTTGGGTACCATTATCAGGAGAACCATCAGCCATACCACCGTGGAGATCATTTTAGCAAAGCCAGGCTCCTGTATCCTGTAAATTTTGCAGCTGTGTGTCAACTGAAGACAGCGATCCATGCTGACAAAGGCTAAAAATATAATCGATAAGTACATGTTGATGTAGATTAGGCAGGCGGTCACTTGGCAGTGGAAAATCTTTAGCTTCCATGGGGCCACCCCTAAGTCGACAGTAATTTTCACTGGCAGTGCTAGAGTGAGCAAGAAATCTGCCGTGAGCAAGTTAATTAAGTATATGCTCACACACTTGGGGTTTGCGTCTTTCTGGGTGAACGCCCAGACTGCAAAACAGCTCCCAATAATTCCAACGAGGAAGATCAAGTAGAAGAAATATGTAAATGGCTCCAGGTCTTTGTAGATCATACAGATGGGAGAGCTGTTGGAATACATTTTTTTTGTGAAAAGGCAAAGACTTGGAGGTGCCCAGAAGATCCCAGGAGGGGAAGCCCTGCAAGGAGATTTAATTTAAGAAAATCACAACTTAGAAAAGCTCGTGAGGTAGAGTCTTAAAATGGAATGAGTGCTAGACTTGTAGCTGAGAGAGACCATAAAGTGAACCCAGTGAGTATCTCACATATGATCTGACCAGGGCACACCTCAGAGAGACTAGAATCCCAAAGGCCCTTTTAAATGTGGCCCAAGGTCATGGCATTTTGCCATCTGCCCTGTCACACTTTGTTTTCTCTCTCACATGCACGCGCATGCACACACTCCTTCATATTTTTGTAGCTTTTTAGTTGCTAACTAGGGAAGTGTGTTTGAAGAGGAGATGAAGACATTAAAGTTCTCAGAAACATAGAGGAAATGAGTCTCAAATGAGTTGGTTTGTGGCTGAAAAATACACTTTGTGAAGCTTTTGGGGGCTCTGAGTTTCTGAGACTTACAGTAGGTTAAAACTGGAAGAACTCCTAGCACAATAGGTTAGGCCTAGAAAGGGACATGAGAGGTCATGCCATCTAGTCCAGCCTCCTCATTTATGTGGAAACAGGCCTAGATAAGTTATCTTCACTTACCCATAGTGCGACAGGTAATATATGGCAACACTGGGACATTTGCCGGATGAGGAAAAAGGGGATGATGGAAAGCTTTCAACTGAGAGCACAGCTGATCATTGACAAGAGGTCATCAGATTAAGAGTGTTGGTCATTCGTGGTGTTTGATACTGAATAGAAAACTAGCATATTTTCACTTGTTTAATTCTTCTCTTTGCACGATGAAACATGATGCCAACACATTTCCTCTTTGCAAACAGAGGCTCAGAGCGGTTAAGTGACTTCGTGTATATGTTTTCTGGCCCAAGAATGAAAGGATTTAGGACACTCTGGATCTAGTCTAGAATATACCCATTTATTCTGGATCACGGGGAAATTATTCCCTTGCTTGTTACTGCAATTTCTAGTAGATAAATGTGGTTCAAACTGGGCTGCTGAAGTATTCTAATTGAAGAATTTTATTTTGAGGAGTTGTCATGCATGATTCAAATTGAAGATGAGTTATGTTGGTGTTTTGGCCAATTGGGTGGCCAAATTTTGGCAGAGTTTAAACAGCCTGGTCTTTTCACTGGGGCTTTTGCTGAAGGTCTCAAGCCACAAAGATACCTGGCACACCCTGGAGCCCACAGGGAAGTTAGCTTAGTTGTAGCAGGGTCCAGGTATAGCAAGCTTTTGCCAAGTGCCCATGACGTACGAGGAATAGTGTTAGGTGCTGGTGATACTTAAAACAAGCAAAGGACAGACCCTTCAAGGCCCTTACGTTCTGTAAGGGTATAGAATACTTAAACAGGTAATTACAGTATCTTTGCAGAAAGGGGAAACTGCTAACTGCCAGAGGGATCAGGAGAGGCTTCCTTTAAGAGCTGACGGATGAGCAGAGCCTTGAAGGAAGCAGAGAGATTCTAAGAGATAGAGATGAGGAGGGGTGCATTCTAGATGTGGAGGCATGGGAGGGCAGCCTTGAAACTGCTTAGCGAGAGATGAAATGCCGAGTTGAGGGGACAGAAAAAGGTCGTTTTGGTGGTCATTTAGGTTGTTTGGCTTGGTTCCCAAACCTTCATCCTAAGTGCCCACCCAGGGATTGGACAGTCCATTTCCATGGTTTTTGTTCAACCTATTGGCTCCTGGCATGTGAACCTTTAATTACTTACTGTGGCCTCCTTTCATCACAGAACTACATCGGCTTTGCTGAAGAGGAAGCTGAACTATTTCCTCATCTGCAAAATGGGGGAAGGGGGATGCACTATGGTTTATAAAGTCACAATTATGTTTCTGTGATGAGACCCTATAGATTAGAACACAACTGTTATTTCCTGCAACAGGACCCAGTTTCTTTCAACACTGAATAATTTAGATCAGTTTTTATAAGATGAGAAGATAATTGATTTAGAGTTGAGAGGGACCTTAGAAGCCCCATCGTCCAGCCCCCTCATTTTACAGTTGAAGAAACTGAGGCTCAGAGGGGTTAAGTGACTTCTGGCCCATTGGAATGTAGACACCTTCAGGGGAGGGGCTGTTTTTTCTTTTCTTTTGTTTACCTACTGCTTCGCAGTGCCTGGCTAATATATTGATTTTTGCTTTTTGGGGAGGCAATCAGGGTTAAGTGACTTGCCCAGGGTCACACAGCTAGTAAATGTCAAGTGTCTGAGGCCTAATGTGTTGATATTGACATCGATGTAGATGTACAGATATAGAAAGATAGGTAGTCACTTAATAACTGCTTTCAATGATGGATTTATTTGGAAAATTACATATACCTAAGTTAATTAAATTTAACAGAAATTTATTGAGCTCTTACAGTACATCAGATACTTGGCATTCTTGAGGACCTTAGATGCTGTTGAGGAGGTTAAAGATGGACACAGATAAATTAATCCAAGAAAATTTGAGGAGGGAAATAGTTCCAGTAACTGGGGTAGGGGGTGGGGGCTCTAATAATCTGAGAGGGCTTCAGCAGGTAGGTGGCACCTAATATTCTGGGGGGGTGGGGAGAGAAAAAGGAGATGAGGATTTAGGGCAGCAACAAAGTAGAGGTTTGGGGAATGGTTTGCGTGAATGCCTTAAAGAGAGAGATGGAATGCTGAGTTCACCGGAAAGTGAAAAGTCCATTATGGCTAGAGAAGAGGAAAAGAAGGAAAGCTGGCAGGGTGATGATGCCAGGCTGAGGAATTTCTCCCTAGAGGAAAGCATGTCACTCTGTATGAAGTGGAAGAGTAGGGTTTGATTGAGAGAGTAGGATTTGATGAAATTTTATGTTTTTGTCCAGGTAACAAATATGTAAAATTTCATGTAAAGTTAAAATTTTCACGTGAATGAAAAACTAGATCTGGATATTTAGAATCTGACCTATTTCCAGCCTTATGGAATCTTAAACCCCTCTCTCAGGCTTTAAGGGCCTTCCATGATCTGTTCCCTCATTTCCTGTTTTTTAATCTTCCAAATTGACTCTTAAAGTAGTGGACTTAATGCCTTTTTGCCTATGCCTTTGGTAAAACCCACAATGAAAAGACCAAAAGTATGCCTTTTGGTCCCATGTAACTGAAACAAGCAGTATGGGTCAGAAGAGGGCTTAAACCCAGCTCTTAGTAATTCTATGCCAGCCTTCTTTCTACTACTCTATAAGTTGGCAGAGAAGTTGCCAGTTTGATATTGGCAGGAGGAATTTTCTCCCTGAAGAGCTCCCTGCACTGATAAAATCACAAGTCTGAACACCCCATCTCCCAAAAAACCCTAAGATTAACAATAAAGTTCTATAAACAATTAGGATGGGAGGCATCATCCACTGGGTGACCACAGACAAGTAAGTCCCTTCCCCTCCCTGGGAAGCCACTGCTGCCTGTTGAATAAAATGCAAATGAGAATTCTTGTTCTAGGACCACAGGGTATTGTTAGGAGGAGAGCTCTATGCTAGCCTTCAAGTGCTATGGGATTATGAGATGCTCTTGTAACTGTTTTTATTTCACTTTATTTCCCCAACGTGCATTCTTCCCCTGGGAGGATTTTGACCCCCTTTCTGCCTTGGGGACATGCCATATCTGTCTCTCCCTCTGTGACTGTGCTCATGTTGGTGATCCTTTCCATTTATTGAAACCCTAAGGACCAGCTGAAGGCCAAACCTTTCCCAGAAGCCTTCCCTGACTACTTTGGCCCTCACTGATGTGCCCAGACCTGGATCCCTAATGGCCTTGACCATCTGGACCACATTATTTAGCACATGATTAAAGAATGAGAATCCTCCCTTCCTTCCACAAACACAGATAAGGGGCTGGGTCCCAGGAGACCTTTCTTTCCCTTCCCCACTTGACAGAGCTCTCATTCTCTTAAAATTTCTTTGTGTAATTTTATTTACTTATGTGTATTCATGATCTACCCTTCTGCTTCCTCCCCCCAGGAGCAAATAATAATAGACATTTCTATAATGCTTTAAGATTTGTAAAAAACTCATTATCCACATTGATCTGTACCAGTGACCCTCTGAAGCAGATGCTATTGTTATTCTCATTTTTACAGATAAGGAAACTGAGGCAGAAAGCAGTTAATTGAGGCAGCAAGATGGCGCAGTAGATAGAGAGCTGGGCCTGGAGTCAGTAAGACCTGAGTTCAAATCTGGCCTCAGACAATTACTGGCTGTGTGACCCAAGGCAAGTCATTTCACCTCTATCTGCCTCAGTTTCCTCATCTATAAAATGGGGATAATAATAGCACCTACCTCCCAGGGTTATTGTGATGATCAAATGAGATAATACCGATAAAGTGCTTAGCACATAGCTCACTTAGCATGATATAAATAATAATTTTTTTTCCCTGTCTGTCCCCACAAATACCCAGCCCTTCCAAGGTTTCGCAGCTAGTGAGCTATTTAAGCCCAGGTTTTCTCAACAGTGAATCCAGCCCTTTATCCACTACCACAGGACTCCTTTGTTGTCTTTATATTTATTAGTAGGTCATGAGAAACAGTTGCTTTGGAGTGGATTTTGTCCTGTACTCTTCTCCTATTTTTCACGCGTCAGCCTTTTCTTCTGACAAACTATGTCTTATACTTCTCCTATTTGTCCTTCCCTAGTCCCCTCCTGCCTCCCATGGTAGTTGCTTGATATACATCCATTGATTAATTATATAGAAAACTCCTTCCCCCAGAGTGGTTGAAGAATAGGATGTGAATGAAAGAGCCTTGGGTCTGGAGTTGGCCTGGCCACTTAGTACCTGTATCATCTTGGACAAGTCATTTAACTCTGAGCCTCATCTGTAAAAATGAGGGGGTTGGGTGAGATGACCTCTGAGGTCCCTTCCACTTCTAATCTAGAATCCTAGGATCCCAGCACTTAACGTTTAAAGAAAAGAGGAAGGAAGGTGGGGTATTTAATCAGTGGCCCTGAGTTCACATCTAGTCTGCGGAGTGACCTATAAGTCACTTTTCCTCTGAGCCTCAATTTACTCATCAATAAAATGTGGGGCTTACACTAAATGATCTCTAAGCCCCCTTTCATCTCTGAGTCAGAGAGCCTAATTGATTTAATATTTATGTCCAATAGAAGTTCATATATACCAAGCATAGGATAGCGATTTTAAGAAGATTTAGAGTATGGTAAGGACACAGCTTACTTAATCCATAAGCTATACTGAACATTAATCTTTCTGATTCTCAAGACATCTCAGGATTTTCTTGCTATTCGGAATCATCATCATCATCATGGTTTAGTAGGACTATGGGAGTTTGAGGCACTGTTAAGTCAGGTGCGAATATGAGGAACACAAAAAGAAAAAGAATTCAAGTTTTATCTCAGCCCACTTGTTGCTTCTTCTATAGAGACAGTCCACGTTTTACTGTTCACCGTGCATTATTTAAAAAGCCCCCAGGGACACTGACACAAAACCCACTGAAGAATTATATTGAAATGCATCATTCACAGTGTTGTGGAAGAGAGCCATTTTAACCAGCCTCAAGGCAGAGACTCTCAGAAATCAAAGGGTTGAAAGTTTGAACATTCTCCCTCGTCCTTATAAGAATGGATAAGCTTTGTATTTAAGAGAGAGATGGACTCATTAAGGAGAAAAATTGTCCTAGGATCCTATGGCATAGATTCAGAGCTCTACAAAATTTTAGAGGTCATTGTTAATTGACTTTCTCAAGTTTACACAGATAATGAGTTGTAAAGACTGGATTTGAAGCCAGGGTTTTCTGATTTCGAACCAAGCCCCTTCCTTAACATGCTGTCCCAGGTTGCCAGCAGTCTACTCTGTGGGTCTCTAGCCAGTATTTCTAGAAGAATTTAGCATGAAAATGTGCAGTTTCCAACCAAAGCCTAGAATATGCTGGACATTTCTACCCTGCCCTTGCTTTAGATATAGAAAAACCATAGATTTCCCCTCTACAGTAAGAGCATATGAAAAAGTCTTTTATAATACATACCTGGAGTGATTGTTTCTGACCTTTTTTCTGGCTTAACTTCAGGGTATTTAGAGAAATGTTCAGCTGGCCCCAGCCAGTAACCACCCCATTGTTGGGCTGCAAGCAGTGCTAATCTTTTCCTTTCTATCTGTGTGGTTTTAAAGTCTTAAATTTGACGTAGATGAAACTAGTGGTATGCAAATAGCTGAACTGTAAGAAAGTCACCTACAGACTCAGCACGCTGGAGTGTGTTTTGTGGAGAAGCTCAGATATGGGGGCTCTTTCAGAGAATAAAGTTCATACTTTTCAAAATAGCCTTAAGCTTTTGGTAAGCACCCACAGCTGTGCTGGCTGGCCATGATGCATGCATAAAAGTCAGTATTTAGACCTTAAAGGAATTATCATGGTAATGATACAGAGTGATGAAGTAAAGCTATTCCTTTCACTGAATAAATAGATAGTTGCTTCTCAAGTTTCAGTAAAGTTGTACCTTATGGCTGTGTTGACGTTACTGTTTTCTACTAGGAGCATGCTCGGTTTAACTTATGGCTCCTTCCTCCTTGGGAGATTCCACTCAGATGTGTGAGCTTGCAAAGTTTTTAAAAAAAAAGTGTTTAGGTTTACCTTTCTCACCGGGCAAATTGTTAAACACCTTGTGATATGCTAAGAGATAGGATGAAAATAGATATACTACTAGTTTTGGGTAAAGAAAAGGATAAAAGGCTTCTTCCAGTCAGTCAGTAAACAACTATTAAGTGCCCACTGTGTATAAGACATTATGAAATTGTTTTTCCAGAGGTAATAATGTTCACTGTCTTATGTTCTTCCAGACATAATTCTAGCGTAACAGAAACTTTTAAAAAGTAATATAAGCATTTCTTTTTGCCTTTGCATCCTGTGGGATTGGCATGGCAATAGTAGGTGTTTAGTATGCCATGGCAACTAGATGACGCAATAGAGAAAGTGTTGGACTTGATGTCAAGAAGACCTGAGTTCAAATCCTGCCTCAGACATTTACTGTGTGACATTGACCTTTCCTAGTCTCATTTTCCAGTTATGTAAACTGGGGATAATGGTGCCAATTTTCCCCTCAGATACTACTACCTGTGTGACCTTGGGTAAGTTATTAACTTTCCAAGAACTTCATTTCTTTCCTAAAATGAGGCAAGTGGACTTGATGACCTGAGGTCCCTTCAGGCTGTAGATCTGTGGTCCATCCCTTTGTCATTCTTGTGGAATGTGGCACAGTGGCTAGGGAGCTGATCTCACAGAAAATATCTCATTGCTTTGGGAACACTGTAAGTTGGAGAGCAAATGCTGATCTGCATTGATAGAATTTCCTCACTGGGAGCTCCCAGTACTGTTGAAATCATGTTTTTGGCCCCAAAGTGAAAAAAGTCAATATAATAAAGTCAGCTCATGTATATTAGTATTTGATTACTTTGAAACTTTAGAATGTTGATTGGCTAAGTCCTTCCTGCTGTCAGTTGGCCACTTTCTCCATCTTATCACTAGCACCAGCTGGGAGGGCGAATGGGGATGATAAATTGGATTGACACTGAGGAAGCTGGCATTAGGTTCATTGATTTAAAAAAAAAAGATGTTTCAAAATACTTGGTGAAAGATGAGTATCTGGAATGAGTTTGATGGTGGTAAAGCAGAAGGAAACTCGGGAGAAATGATGTAGGGGTGGCCATGGCAACTTGGGGTGTTGGAGAATAAATACTCTTTCAAGCTGTATTTGAAATATCTTGGATCCAGGAGATCACTGTGCTAAACAGCCAGGCCAACGTGGGAGTAAACCAGATGGACAATGAGAAAAGCTCAGAAGAAAACATAGGCTATGGGGCTAGAGAGAATGAGAATGACTTCAGTGATGTTGTTCAATGAGAATGACTTTTGCATGTAGGAAAAAATGAGTAAGAGATGATTGATTTATTTATGTTTTCTTTTTTTTTTTTTTGCTCTTGAGATTTGGACTTGTGCTTTGCTGTATTAGATCATAGGATCATATATTTGGAGCTGGAAGTGAGCTTAGAGGTCATTTAGAACAACACCCTTCTTTTACAGATGAGGAACCCAGAGATGAGACCCAGAGAGGTTAAATGATTTTCTTAGGGTTACATAGCTGGTGTACCTGTTAGGATTGAAGTCAGTTCTGCCTGGCTCTAACATTCTATCCAACACGATTTTTAGTGGGTAATGATGAGGTCTAGAAGTTTAGAGATGCTGGAACCCCAAAATCACGACACGCAGGTCCTGCCCGAAAGAATTTGACCCAAATCTTTCCGCCAGAGAAAAAGTTTATTAGGGATAAATCATATAGGCCAGATTCTTAAGGAATCTGAAAATTAGTGACACCCATAAGGATGAGTGGGCATGAGGAAGTCTCAGGGTTTAAATGGGGGCCAGGGTAGATCTTATATAGACTCAAATAATTTTGGGTGTTTGGAGGAGGGGCTAGGACAAAGATCCTGAAGCTGGGGTGAGTTTAGGGAATATTCCGATTGGAATGTCTGGGAAGTTGAATAGACAATGGGAATAGATAATGAAGGAAACTGGAAGGAAGAGGTTTGAATGGGATCTGGATAAGATCAAAGGTAGGAAGTATATACTGGGGCTTTATTATGTTTTCAAAGGGAGATAGGGAGAGTCGATAAGGAAAAGCCATCCTTAGGTAACCCTTTGAGACCAGAGTGAGGCCAAAGAAAGTTTAAGGTTTTCTGGGGCCGGTAGACAAATAGGTCCCAAATTCTTTTTGGGGCAAGGGGCAAAGGTCTCGGCTTGGCCCATACCCCATCAGGTAACTTTGTTGAGATTTCCAGTGAACCTGATTAATCCTAACTACTCTTCTTAGAATCTCCTGAGAGTAGCTCTTTTCTGTTCTGCCTCGCTGGAACTTCATCTTATAGTGTGACAGCCTCAGGAAGGCAGAGGAGTCTGGTAGTCAGGGGACGGTCAGTTGTTTCCTCTAAGATCTGTGTGGTCTTGGAGAATTCACTTAACAAAACCAAGTTTACCCCTTCTTATCTGTTAAGTGGGGGTGGGGAGGGGAGAATAAATCATATCTGACAGGGAATCATGTCATAACAGATGAAGTACAACTGTACTTGGATTTAGGACAACTTGGGTTCAGATCTCCATTTCTGACACCTAGGGCAAGTCACTCAACCTTGGTTGAGCCTTAGTCTTCTCAACTGTAAAATGGGGAGAATGACATCTCCAGTATCTATCTCACAACACTGTTGGGAGGCTCAAGTGTGATACTGTATGTAAAACAATGTGAAACCTTGAAGTAATTGACGCCTCTTCTCTGCTCTCCTCCTTCCTGCCCACCTGAGATAAGTCTATTCAATTCTTTATGATATAGACTCAAAACTAGCCTTTTGAGAGGGAGAAATAACTCACTCCTTCCTCCTACCCGCAGGGGTTGAGGCTTATGTTTCTTAGTGGTGTGGGGAAGTTACTCTGTAAATGTATTGTGTAGATTTAGTGGAAAGAGATTTCATTTTCTCGAGCCAGTGGCTGTTTCAATTTTACCATGTTAAAAAAAAAATCCCCTTGCTACTTCTTTAAATCTCTCTCTTGTTCCCCCCCAAGCTTTGTTGTTATTGTTTTTGTTGACTGATCCTCTCAGTGCTTTCTGAGCATAGCAGGAAATGGCTTATCCGTGACATGTGTGGCCAAAATGGAGTATAAATGGTCACAATAGTTTCCTAAGCCATGTAGCTGGCATTAATTACTTTTTGGAGTGCAGATTACCAAAATGGTTATTTTCTATGAGTCAAACAGAAATTGAAGCTAAATCCCCCCATAAACTTTAGGTCAAAAAATAAAAACCTTTTTGAGTTGTCACAGACATTCTATTTTCCATCTTATTGACAAACACCTACAGGATTTTGCATAATCTCTTCTTGCCTAAGAAAGGGACAAAGCTGGGTCTCTACTGTATTTGCCTCCAGGAAACTGCATGCCAAAGCCCCTGGTAACGGAAACCACAATAATGTAGAGTATTTATTAAGCTCCATTGTATGCCTGGCCCCTATTCGAGGTATATAGGAGTACAAAAACAAAGTGAAATCATCTCTGCTCTCCAGAAGCTTAAATTCTATTGGGATAGCTGCTTCTAATAAGTAGATCCAAAATAAAGATCCAAGTAAATCCAAGGTGATGACTAGTGAGAGGGAGGAGAAGGGACTTTCAGCAGAGGGAAGGAGGTAGAGAAATGAGGATAGGAAAATTCTCATGTAGGAGGTCCTGCTTGAGTTTTGAAGAAAGCTAATGGCATTGTGTATAGAAAGCTCGATCTAGACTCATCTTCCTGAGTTCAAATCTAGCCGCAGACTCTTACCAACTGGCAAAGTCATTTAACTCTGTTTGCTTCAGTTTCCTCATCTGTAAAATGAGCTGGAAAAATAAATGACAAACGACTCCAGGATCTTTGCCAAGAAAACCCCAGATGGGGTCATGAAGATTTGGAATCTGAATCAACTTAACAGGGATTCCAAGAGGTGGTGATGAGGAGAGGTTACGTTCCAGGCATGAACAGTTTATGCATGGAACAGTCTATGCAAGAATATGAAGATGGGAGATGACATGTCATGGGTGAGGAACTACAAGAATCCCAATTAAGCTGTACAATAGCGGATTAATATGTAATGTCTAGAGCCAGATATTGGAGGACTGAAATGTCAAGGAGAGGAGTTTGTAGCTGAAACTACAAGAGTTTCAATAGATAGTCTTTGGAGCTTCTTGAGTTTGGGAGTGACATGGTCAGACCTGTGTTTTGGGACTATTACTTGAATAACTATGTGGAGAAAGGAGAGGGCAGGGGATCAATCAGGAAACTGTTGGACTTACCTAGGCAAGAAATGAGGAGGGCCTATGCCAAGGAAGTGGCTTTGTGAGTGAAAAGGAGATGGTCATGAGGGATGGTATGGTGGTAGAATAAATAAACACAACTTTACAACAGATTGTATATGGCCAGGGGTTGAGGGAAATTGAGGAATCCACTATGACACTAGTGTTTTAAATTTGACTCAGAAAGATGATAATGTCTTCAATAAAAACAGGGGTGGGGGAAAGAGTTCTATTTTGGATACATTGAATTTGAGATACTTGTGTGATATCCAGCTGAAT